CCTTTTCCCTATTCTCAAAATTTTTTATGAGTTACTATAGCACATTTGAAAAGGAAGAGACAAAAAAAAACAAAAAAAAACTTATCTTTTTCTTTTTTCTCTTTTTTTCTTTAACCCATTTGTTCTATATATCAGTTAGTATAAACCTCTACCTCATTAACATTATAGAGACTAATTCTCTGCATGACCTTTTCCTATACTTCTGTGATACACCCTTTTGGCGAATTTATCCCTTAACTACCTTGTGATATTGTTTTATCTTATATCGAATTATACTTAATCGTAATTAGTGCTTCTTATACCTTTACCAATATCTAACTCTGTAGTGAGTGTATCAACATTTGTGACCTTTTCATATTTGATAATACAATCTAACTTTATACAAATTTGTACACACTCTTAACATACCAGTGAGATTATAATGATTATTATCTACACAAACCATAACTAAATTTCACTAATAAATTATTCTTCCCATTGATCAAAATTTAACAGTGAATAACCATCTTATAAAATTTTATCTTATACCTAATATCGTTCTCACTCTTATTTAAAAAAAAAAAAAAAATTTCGCTTCCCTTTCTCTCCATCCTTTCCTTCCCTTTTCCTTTTCTTTTTCCTTTTTCTCTTTCTCTTTTCTTTTAGAGGAAATAATTTTTTTTTGTCCAGACTTAATTTTTAAGTGAAATGAATAGTCTTCTTGTTCTTCATTAACTTTTTGCTTCAGATCTTTTAATTTTAGGAGTATAAGCTATTTTGTCCAGATTTCTAGTTTTTTCCTTTTTTTTTATTTTTGAAATAGATGGTCTCCATTTTTCTTCCGCCTGCATAATTCTTTTGAACTCATTTATCTGAAAGGGGGTTTGCCTTCCTCAGCTTCTTAGATCTTTTGACCTGTTAAAAAAAAAAAAAAAAGTCCTTTAGTTTTAAGGGAATATAGTTTTTGTCCAGGCTTCTAGGTCTTTAGCTGAAGTGAATGGTCTCCATCTTTCTTCCCACCACACAATTATTTTAGATGATTGTACCCATTTATATTTCATATTATTTTGCTTCAATGGTTCTAAGGCTTGATGAAAAGATTTTCTCCAAATTCTTGTTTGCATTGACAAATCTTGAAATATGATAATATCCTTAAATTTCTCCGGTAAATTAACTTTATTCCTCAGCAAATTAACCATTTGTTGTTTATGTGAGTAGGAAAAAAAACATACGATGACATCCCTTGGGTGATGAGCTGGGACCTCACTAGGTTTTCTTAGTCTGTGTGTTCTTTCGATTATAGGCAGAAGGGCTTCATTCTGCAGACCAACTTCTTGAAAAAAAGAAAGCAAAAAATCTTTTAATAGGTCTTGAGTTACAGATTCCGGTATATTTCTAAGGCGCACATTACATCTCCTCGATCGATCCTCCAGATCTCTAATCTTGAGATTCATTTGCTGGATTAGAACTTCTGTTTGAGTATTCTCTGCTTGCAAATTATTTATTTGACCTTCTATTATATAAATTTTTTCTAATGCAGAACTCAGCTTTAAATTTATTTTCTCCATCTCCAGTTTAATTATATTAGAGCTATTTGTAATCTGATTAGCAATTTGTATCATTTGCTCGTCCAATTTATTCACTAGAAAATCTTGAGAAACATAGTTCTTCTGTTCTGCATTATAAACATTTGTTGTTTGTGTATTCTGATCATGATATACCGTATCAGTATCTTTATGACCTAATTTTTCTTTATTGGGAGAAAAAAAACCCGACAGTCTTGTTGGCTGAGAGTCATCCCTTTTTTCTCTGGTTTTAATTTGTTTCTTGGACGCCATTTTAGGCCAATAATCTTATTCCAATAAAAGAAGGGGGCTCTCACTTTAACACACTTTCAATGGTGCTATATATCGATATGCTCGGGTATACTTGAGTTTTTTTTTTTTTTTCCTTTCTTTCCTTTCTCCCCTTTTCTTTTTTCGTTTGTTTTCTTTTTCTTTTTTTTTCCTTTTTTTCCCTTCTTTTGCTTTTATATTGGAGTTTTTCCTTCTGCCTATAAACAGCCCCAGTATATTTTTTACATACGCTTGCCTTTAAACCTTAGTTTTCTGATCTGTTTTAAAAGCCAATTTTTTTTTTCTGCGTCCTGCCTCTTGAAAACCTCATGAGAATTTGAGCTTTCCTATTGAATTTTCTTATCTGTGTTTGTCCCGATCTCGCTCAATGCTCTGGACTCTGGGCGCTCTGGGCACTCACTGAGGTACAGACCTTTCCTCCAGAATCCATCTGTTCACGATCTGTCCTCGGGTCCCAATTATTTCGCGTCTGCCCGACAGCACCGACTCCTCCGTCCTCACCATCGGACCTCGTCTCCTCCCGCCATCCCCTTCCGCGCCTCACACACTCCTCCTAGACCCGCCTCTCGACGTGCTCACGCAGTCACGTCATCACTCCGCCCCCGAGAGCATAACATTTCATTCAACCGCCACTCGTTTTTGCTACATATTCGATATTGTTTTAAATCTTTAGAAAAATAGGTGCATGGTCTGACTATGTGATATAGCCTATCTCTGAGGAGATGATCTTATTTAAAAAGTGAACCTTGGTGACAAACAGATCAATCCTGAAATATGAGTTATGAACCTCTGAGGAAAAAGTTAAATCTTTGTTTCCTGGATTGAACATACTCCAAGTATCATACAGGGAATTTTTCATTAAAATATCCTGAAGGGATTTGGCAGTTTGTTTCAATTGTGGGTCCTTGGACCTATCGGCCATATAACTCTTGTCTAGTTTTATGTCAGGTACCCAATTAAAAACCCCCTCCTAGAATCAGTAAACCTGTGTTATTTGATCTATTCTATTTACTATTTTCCAAAGAAATCTAATTGGACACTGATTAGGATTGTAAATGTTTACAAATGTGTAAATTATATTGTTGATCTTACATATCAATATAATGTATCTGCCATTGTCAGCTCTCTCCTCAAAGATAAGCTCAAATCTGATCTTATTGGAAATGATTATTGCCAACCCTCTTTTTTTTTTAATTGGATTGATATATCCAAGGAAAATGAGAGAACTTCCAGAGTTTCTTGGCAGGCTCAAACTAGTTAATTTCCTGGACATATGCAACTTCAATTTGTTTTTGGCATAAAGTGTGATACAATTGGCCTCTTTTTTGAGGCATATTGAGACCCTGAGCATTGACTGATCGAATGTTTACCCATTCGATCATTAGTATATTCTCATTCCAGGACCGGAAAGAAAAATAAAAAGAAAAGAAAAAATAAACTACATTTAACACATTCATTCTGCATAACTATATGATAAATTCCATTACAATTGTTGAACTCTCTCCTCTCCCTGCCTTTTCTTGTTCCTCATAACATCTCTCCCCTTCCGTGCTCCCTTTGCAGTCTATCCAGCAGTAGGATGAGAGGGGCAAAGTAAAGAGAAAAAATATAAATAAAAATAAAATATAGCTGTCTAACTGTTTTCCTTCAGTTAGGCTTAGAACTTAATTTCTTCACTTCATAGTAATTTTCAATGGGGTTTAACCCCTTAAGGACGGTGGGCGTTCTATGCCGCCCCGGGACCCGGCTCTAAACGCCGGCGGGCGGCAGAGAACGCCCAAGCCGTCCTATGTACTTGCCCAGTCGCGGGTGATCCCACGCCGGTGATCGCGGAGTGGGGACTCACCTGGCAGCACAGGGAGTCCCCGTCCTTCCTTTCTGGCCCCCCTGGGCCATGTAAACATGCGAGCCTTGCGAGGACCTTGCGATCACATGGACGGCATAGCCATTGCGTCCAATGCCAGCAGGGGCAGTGCCTGTAATGACAGGTACTCCCCCTGCTGCCTGTAAATATTAAAATAAATGTTAAAGTTACAGTTTAACATAAAATGTATACTTAGATCATACATATATGTATATATATATATTTATTATATATATGATCTAAGTATATATACACATATACATACATACACTAAGTGTATTTAATCTTAATATATATAATTATATATTAAATATATATATTAATATCAAAATTCACATAAAATGATATTGATTAAATATATATATAATTATCATTATATATAATATAATAATAAATAAATATTTAAATACGTTAATTTTTTTTAAAAAAAGTAATAAAAATAAATATATATATATGTGTGTAAATTCGTTCTAACTGTATCTTAAAATTAATACATATATATATATATACTGATATCAAAATATATGTATAACAAAATAATATATATCTATATACATAAGTATATACGTATATATCACTATATATCTATATATACATAAAAATAATGTAAAAAAATATATATATGTATATACACACATGTATATATATAATAATTCTACGTATATATTTATGTAATAATTTTACATAATTAGGTCATTTTATTAATTACAATTTGCGGGACCTACCTGACAACCCAGGCCAAAAGTCCAGGGAATTTAATTTGCTAGCACTATAGTTAACCCTGTAACTTTCCAAGACACCATAAATCTGTACATGGGGGGTACGGTTTTACTCGGAACACTTCGCTGAACACAAATATTAGTGTTTCAAAACAGTAAAATGTATTACAACGATAATATCGTCAGTGAAAGTGAAATTTTTTGCATTTTTCCACACACAAATGGCACTTACACGGATAATATAATTGTTGTGATACGTTTTACATTGAAATTTGCCAGGTTGGTTATGTTGCCTTTGAGACTGTATGGTAGCCCAGGAATGAAAATTACCCCCATGATGGCATACCATTTTCAATAGTAGACAACCCAAGGTATTGCACTTTAAAATTGGCACTACTACCACTATTAGTTTAATTATTTACATGGTCTTTGTTGATCATAATTTGTAATTTGATTGTACTTTATATTACTATAATAGTGAGACTACTGGGTAGTAGTTTTGTAGCTTTAACGATATTGAGTTGTTCTAAGCACTTCGTGTCACTTTACAGTTCACTTGCACACTCTCTTTATTCTCTTTAGCACTTTACCGCGGCCAGTTTACATTCGGTTGCCATGGACACGCGGCCTATGCCGACGTCTCCATGACACCGTTATCACGTGACAACGTCGTAAGGGGGCGGAGCACCTCACGCATGCGTAATCCACACCACGGGCCGCAGTTGCACACAGGGGATTCGGTACACCTGGGGTAAGTTCATTTCCAATTATTATTTGTAATATATATGTGGTTTTGTTTCTATGGCTGTCCATTCCTGAAGAAAGTCCCATAAGTGGACTGAAACGTCGAAATAGCCTTTTTAATACATGGAATAATAAACTTTATTTTTTAATCTAATTTTTGGAAATCTGTGAGTGCTAATCATCATATACTGGTATGTAACATTCCCCCTGATTTTGAGCACCCGGTTTGAATATCTTTTGGAGCTAGAGTGCAAGGACTTTGTGGATGGTTATGTATATATATATATAATATATAGACATATATTATATCTATATAATATATGTCTATATATCATATATAATGTCATACTAAGTGTGTTTTTATATTAATATGTACATATATTAATATAAATATACACTTATAATTAAATTACACACATGTATATATATATATATATATATATATATATATGATATATATAATAACTATATATATTGTATATATATATTATTATAAAATACAAATAATAAGTAGATTAAATTAAATTAAAAAAATTAAAAATAATAAAAATTAAAAAAAATTATAAAGAAAACAGGATGAAGTGTATCTAAATCATGATGCAAGATATAAGCATCAACAAAATTCAAGATAGCCAACAAATAGCCTACTATAAAGGCCAGATAAAGCCACTAAAAACAAAAATAATAAAAGTTTATTAAACAAAACAAATATTTGTTTTGTTTAATAAACTTTTATTATTTTTGTTTTTAGTGGCTTTATCTGGCCTTTATAGTAGGCTATTTGTTGGCTATATTGAATTTCGTTGATGCTTATATCTTGCATCATGATTTAGATACACTTCATCCTGTTTTCTTTATTCTCCATTTGGGGTTACCCCCCACTTTTTCTGTGTATCTAACTTGGCTCAATTTATTTGCTGTTTTAAAAAAAAATTATATATCTATATGAAATTTTATTCTAACTGTATTTTGATATTAATATATATATATATATATATTTATATCAAAATACACTTAGAATGAAATTGTATATATATCTATGTATATATAAATAAATAAAAATAATACGAAATATACATATGCCCATATACAAAATTACATAAATAATTATATAAATATACAAGTAGACTTCAAATATATAAATATGCATATATATTTAAATTCTACGTGCGTATTTATGTAATATTTTTACATAATTAAGTAATTTTATTAATTGCAATTTGAGGGACCTGCCAACCCAGGCCGAAAGTCCAGAGAATTTAATTTGCTAGCACTGTATTTTACCCAGTAACTTTCTATTACACCCTAAAACCTGTACCGGGGTACCGTTTTTCGGGAGACTTTTGCTGAACACGAAATATTAGTGATTCAAAAACAGTAAAACTTATATCACATATCACGCGTTGATATTGGCCAGTGAAAGTGACTTTTTCACATTTTCACACAAACAGCACTTTTACTGATGATATAATTGTTGTGATTTAAATTTGTTGATGCACTTTGGAACAGTTAAGCGTGAACAGTTCAGCGGTATATAACGCATGTTAGATCGCCGCGGACGTGAACACATCTGTGATTCGATCCGCCCCCTATTCGTCATCATTGAGTAAACTTTGACCTGTACCTCACAGTCAGCAGACACATTCCAGCCAATTAGCAGCACACCCTCCCTAGCAGACCCTCCCACCTACTGGACAGCATCCATTTTAGATTCATTCTCAAGCTGCATGCTTAGTGAGAGGAGGGAAAGTGTAGCTACTGTTGATTAGATAGGGAAATGCATAGCTAGGTTAGGGTATACAGTGTCCACTACAGTCCTGAAGGACTCATCTGATCTCTGCTGTAAGGACAGCACCCAAAAAGCCCTTTTTAGGGCAAGAACATCAGTCTGCTTTTTTTTTTTTTTCTGTGTAATGTAATTGCAGTTGCCTGCCTGCCTGCCAGCTTCTGT